TCCCATCGAAATATATATATATATATATATATATATATATATATATATATATATATATATATATATGCATGAAATAACGATATATAATATTATATATTAAGAACAATATTGGGAAAATATGTATGGCAAAGTAGCAAAAGACGAAACCCGTTGCAAGAAAAACTTGTCCAGTTCGTCATGTATTTTCCCCAATCTTACATACATGCATGCATACATACACACACACACACACACACACACACACACACACAAACACACACACACACACACACATATATATATTGTGTGTATTTAGGCAGCATATTTTCATTTATACACGTTTCATTAAATAATATAGACAAGTGTTGTCTATTTATTTTATGTAAAATTTGTTCGTAACATCTGATAAGTTTGATAACATTATCATTAAACGAAGAAAGAAATTCACAATATTGATCCATATTTTTTTAATATAATCTAAGCTTTCGGCTGACTTAAGTCATTATCAAAGATGTAAATCACAAACATATTAAACAATATACGGACACGACAGTGATGATAGTCTGTCATTGTTTACATAGTTTATCATTAAGCAACGATAAACACGCGCATATAAGACGCTAGAAGCGAAAATCGCACCGCATCTCATGACGTCACACATGACTACACGAGAGTGAATTGTAGAATGAAGTAAGGAAAGCCGTTGGTATAAACTATGTTGGTTTTTTGCAAATCGATGAACAAATAAGATGCTTTCTTAGAAATCTCAATAATACGCAAATTGTACATAATACTGCTTCTACTGATCTCAAATATATTAATCTCCTATATCGTAATCAAATGCATACTAATTATAAACAAGCTGAAAATATACTAAAAAATTTAGTAAATTCTAATATATCAACTACAGATCCTAGCAAAAAAATTAAATTAATCATATACTACACTAAATAATAATATCCAACTTAATACTTCGCAATGATTCTTCTCCCCCGATTAGCGATTTGCAAAAAACCAACATAGTTTATAAATTCAAGTGGCCTTTGGGAGAGTGTATCTCCAACGAATTAAATAATATTTATGTTGGTCACACCACAAACTCGCTTTCACGACGCTTGACACTACATTTTAATGAAAACTCTAACATTTTCAGGCATTTAAAACAATATGCCTGCCCGCACACACAATTCCGTAAAATACTTGTCGAAAACACAACTATACTTCGACATGAAAACAATAGACAAAAACTAAAAATACTTGAAGCATTATACATCAAACTGTTAAAACCCAACCTAAACAAAATCAATTATGGCATCTCTACAAATATCCTTAAATGTCTATAATTGGTAACAGAAGCCATTGGTTTATACCAACGGCTTTACTTACTTCATTCTACAATTCACTCTCGTGTAGTCATATGTGACGTCATGAGATGCGGTGCGATTTTCGCTTCTAGCGTCTTATGTGCGCGTGTTTATCGTTGCTTATTGATCAACTATGTAAACAATGACAGACTATCATCACTGTCGTGTCCGTATATTGTTTAATATGTTTGTGATTTACATCTTTGATAATGACTTAAGTCAGCCGAAAGCTTAGATTATATTAAAAAAATATGGATCAATATTGTGAATTTCTTTCTTCGTTTAATGATAATGTTATCAAACTTATCAGATGTTACGAACAAATTTTACATAAAATAAATAGACAACACTTGTCTATATTATTTAATGAAACGTGTATAAATATATATATATATATATATATATATATATATATATATATATATATGGAAAACGATATATGATTTTTATATATCAAGGACAAATTTAGGGAAAATATGGCACACATAGATATATAAATATAAGGATATATGTACGCTCTATTAATGTACTTATATCGAGTGCATATAGAGATAAACAATGTGTGACGACAGTCTTTTTCATGCGTGAACGGAATCTTCTGTCCAATGTCTGATATTGTATTCAAGCATTAAACAAAGTGTGGTCTCCTGGTGATGATCTTTGTGTACACGATGCTTATATTTATATACGCTCTATAATCGTCATTGTCCTGGAGAGACATGGCTCATAGAAGAAGAACAGACTATCTTTCTTTCTCTCTATATATATTTTTTCATTTATTCTTTTTTTTATTGGTACTTACTGTTATCGATCTCATTCAATTGTTTTTTTTTTTGGTTTTTTTTCGTCACTTCCAGGAAGTCCCTCCCATTTTGCATCGTTAAAACGGTATGCAAACATTATAAAATGGATGAAATTGTTGATATTGCTTTGAGATTGTTGAGATATCAAGGAGTTAATCATTCATGGAAAGCCAGTCGTACGTAGCAACACTCATATTTAATAGGACGTCTTCGCATGACAGTCCTTCTCTTGAGACATAAACACTTTCTGCTGGATTAACATTATTCTGAATCTACTATCGGGCTGCGGTATCAATCAATCCATTCGGAGGTATTTGTTCCTGTGGAAAAAATCTCACAAGCAAAACCAACGGGACCCACAGATAAGTAATAAACTATCCTTAGTTCCACCAGTTCTAAACTTCACTGCTAAAACTCACCATGATAGGCACATTATTCCGAACTACCCTTAATTCCTTCGTATTCCATTTTTGAGATGTAAGTTCCACTCAAGCAGATTCATCCCACGAACCGCTGCGCTGTGAAACCGACTCCCAAAAGGATATGTTCCGATCATTACAAATATAACTTATTCATGTAGAGGATTAACCGTTATCTTATTCAGAAGCCCGCATCAATTGTGTCAATTATGCTGTAACCCTCTACCACGAGTGGCTCCGGGGCCGTATAAAAAGTGAACAGTACTGTAAAAAACAAATATTGGATACGTGAGAGTCAAAATGAACAATATGATTCTATCAACACAAGAAAGAAATACTGGTGAAAAAATAAAGAAAAAATGCAAGGATACGATGTTAGGTGAAAGTATCGAATTAATATATAAAGTTCTGACGTTTCTGTTAATCAAATGTCCAAACAGTTCCACAGTGTCGCCATTGAATGCACGCCAAAGCCAAGCTGCATTTAAAGTACTCTCTTACGTCTTTCATGTCGTTTTAGCTCTAAATTCAGGGCGATTTGTTCTGATCCTTTTCAACAGAGAGGCGAGAAAACAAAGGTTTTTCCTTCTTGTACTTGTAATTTCATTTTACACCATATTTCTTTCGTGGAGTATTCTTTATCGCTTGTTTTGCAAAGATGGATTTTTACAGTTGCGCGATCGCTTGCTTGATTTGGAAATTCACATCGAAGATGAAAAGAAACTGATACATATGAATCAAAAACTGAAAAATTGGTTAATTTTTTCTCTAACGTCCGGATGCTTCACAACAATAGCGATATGGTTATCATTAATGTTTATACCCGAAGAAAATTCAGTATTGCCAATGTTTACTTCATATCCAATAACAGCCGAAAGTGACGCCTACATAATTGTCTCTGTGATTTTTATAATTTTACTAATCATTAGCAACTTCTGGATCCAAATCGTTGACATTATTGCCATGTGGTTGATGTCATTTCTTCGAAATGAGTTTGATTGTCTAGCAGAATCTTTCCGAAGAGATTTTCCTCGCAGCGATGCTAAGCAGAAAATTAATTTAAGCGAAAATGAAAGAAATTCTCGTATCTTTGAAATCTACCAGAATCATGTGAAATTATGCGACGTCTTAGATTCGACGAATTTCCTTTGCCGCACTTTTTTGAGCTTTATCTTTTCGGTTACAATTGCCCAGATCTGTCTGCTAACTTACGAACTAATTCATAATTCGATGGAAACTGTGGAATTCGTTTATTTGATAAGTATAGTTATTTCCAACGCTGTTTCATCTTTTTTTTACTTAGCAAAAAGTCTTAAATTGCATATAAGCGTAAGTATTTTCTTATATTTGATAAAATCAACTTTCGTTTTGCCCAAACGGTTAGACATCAATAAGTATCTTAAACAGATTGATTGTTGCTTCCACGTGAAAAGTTCAATAGCGAAAATGGTAACATTGTCTTTTTTTCCCCATTTTCTTTTGCCAGCATTGCATTATTTCTTTAGATTTCACCCCCAACTTTCCTCATTCCAACATTTTTTCTCTTCTCACTTTCCCAATTATATTGCCATGTTCAAAATGAACAAATAGCCAGTTGATCTATCTATCTATCTATCTATCTATCTATCTATCTATCTATCTATCTATCTATCTATCTCACTTATATTGCCATGTTCAAAATGAACAAACAGCCAGTTGATCTATCTATCTATCTATCTATCTATCTATCTATCTATCTATCTATCTATCTATCTACCTCATTCACTTATATTGCCATGTTCAAAATGAACAAATAGCCAGTTGATCTATCTATCTATCTATCTATCTATCTATCTATCTATCTCACTCACTTATATTGCCATGTTCAAAATGAACAAATAGCCAGTTGATCTATCTATCTATCTATCTATCTATCTATCTATCTATCTATCTATCTATCTATCTATCTATCTATCTCACTCACTCACTTATATTGCCATGTTCAAAATGAACAAATAGCCAGTTGATCTATCTATCTATCTATCTATCTATCTATCTATCTATCTATCTCACTCACTTATATTGCCATGTTCAAAATGAACAAATATCCAGTTGATCTATCTATCTATCTATCTATCTATCTATCTATCTATCTATCTATCTATCTCACTCACGTATATTGCCATGTTCAAAATGAACAAATAGCCAGTTGATCTATCTATCTATCTATCTATCTATCTATCTATCTATCTATCTATCTATCTCACTTATATTGCCATGTTCAAAATGAACAAACAGCCAGTTGATCTATCTATCTATCTATCTATCTATCTATCTATCTCACTCACGTATATTGCCATGTTCAAA